TTAAGATGTCATCAAAGTAAACTACTACAAATTTTTTTAGGAAGGGTATGAGGACTTGGGTCATGACCCTCATAAAGGTGCTCGGGGCGTTGCTCAGACCAAACAGCATAACAGTCCATTCATAAAGTCCATCTTTAGTTTTGAACGTCGTTTTTCATTCATCTCCTGGACGGATTTTAATTTGATGGTACCCACTCTTAAGATCTATCTTGGAAAAGAGAGTTGCTCCGGTCATCATGTCCAACATGTCATCTAGCCGGGGAATGGGGAACCTATACTTGACAGTAATCTTGTTGATAGCGCGGCTATCAACACACATCCGCCATGAGCCATCCTTCTTGGGAGTCAGAAGTGCAGGAACAGCACACAGGCTAAGGCTCTCCTTTATGAATCCTCGTCGTAGGAGTTCATCAACTTGTTTCTTCAGTTCAGAATGTTCAGTTGGGTTCATACGGTAGTGAGGAAGGTTGGGTAGTGATGCCCCCAGTACCAAGTCTATCGCGTGTTGTATATCCCTTAGTGGTGGCAGCTGGTCAGGTAAATCATCCGGGAAAACGTCCGAAAAGGTTCTAAAGAGTGGGCGGACCTCTTCAGGAATAGGTTCACCTATTTCCTCATGGGTTTCCCTAGCCACTAGAGCGTACATGATGATTCCTTGGTTGATCTTATCTTCCACCTCCTTTGCAGTCAAGAGGTGTAGTCCTTTACTTTGTTTGGCAGGGGTAGGCTTGGGTTCCGTCTTGGAGGGTTTTGGTTGAGAGGATATTAACTTAATTTTCTTCCCGTTATGTTCGATCACGCAGGTGTTCGTCCTCCCATAAATATGAACGTCATAGTCAAATAACCAAGGGCGACTAAGGATAATTTGACCAACGTCCATGGTCAAAACATCACACCAAATCTTCTCCTGATATCCCACAAACTCTATAGGAATGAGGCTCATATACTTAATTTCTATGGTAGTCGAGTTGATCCAAAAAACCTTATACGGATTTGGGTGAGGGGTCATCTTAAGGTTGAGCTTGGAAACCATAGCCGAAGAAACTGCATTGATACAACTTCCGCTATCGACAATAACTTTGCAGCTCTTTTCTCCAATTTTAATAAAAGTATGAAAAATGGAGGTACTTCGTCAATCATCACTTAGCTTAGGTTGGGACAACGCGCACCTAAAAACTTGAAGGGTAACGGGTTCTTCCTCAGTGAAAGAGTCTTCTTCCTCGTCAACATGGTGATCAAATCAGTTTCAGGTTCGTCCTCATCTTCGTCCACTTCTTCGATTATGGTGACCTTGTAGGGACTAGAACATTACGAAGCAATGTGTCCATATCCATGACACCTATAACACTTGGTTCCTGAAGTGGGCTTGGAAGTGTCTCGTTCGGGGGCTTTACCTTTAAGGTCTTTGCGAGGTGGGGCCGAACTGGCAGTGGGTCGGCTCGCTGTAGAACCCGAGGGTCGGTTTTGGGGTTGTCCAGATGAGGTCCTATAAGAGTTTGAGCGGGAGTCAAAGTGTCTTGTTTGAGAATGATTCCTAGACTCTTCAAGGTCGAGGACTAGACTGCAGGCTGCGTCTAACGTGTCTACTCCTCTGGCAAACAGTTCAGTTCAAAGATCTTCCCTAAGGTCAGCTCTAAACATGGACAGGATTTGATCATTTGAGTTGGGGTAGCCGATTCTTCGCCATAGCAATGAATCAAGAAATCGTCGAAGGCCGAGATGTAGTCTTTAACTGGCTTGCTTCCCTGGTTCAGTCTATTCCACTTATCTAGGAGCTTAGGGTAGTACGACGGAGGGAGGGACTTTCTCCTAAGTTCTTGCTTCAAAGTTCGCCAGTCGGTGATGGGATGTTCGCCTCGAGCCTTGCGCATATTCTCTAAATTGGTCCAATATAAGTTGGCTCGACCCGTGAGTTTCATCTCTGCAAATCTAACCTTCCTAGCTTCCGAGATGTTATACCACTTGAAATAACTATCCATGGATTTAAGCCAATCCAACAAAACTTGGGGGTCAAGGGTCCCATCATACGTTGGGGCATCAATCCTAATATTTTTCAACAACTGGGCATCGTTGTCTCTCCAAGGGTTCTCGTCTCCTACGGGGTCTTGATGGGGCCTCAGGTTATGGCGGTACTGGTCTCGCGGGTGGCCATGATCTGCTCTGTTATCATCGCCTTAGGGTGAGTGAGGTCGTGAAGGTGTATAGATTTCGGGATTCCCAATAAGCTCTATGTTATCTAAACGATCACTGGTTAATCTCCTAAAATCTCCTAAGTCCGTATGAGTGTTACGAATTTGCTGCGTAACAGTTCCCAATTGGCCCAATATGAGGTCTAGGGTTGCCTGGAGGTGTTCCGGATCCATGGGTGAAGGCTAGGGGTTGCTAGGGGAAGTGTCGGGTTGGTGGACAGCACCTAGACGCTACGGTAGGATGCTCCTAAGGCTTCTATACGCTGCTGGAATACTAGGGACAGCAACCTAACACAATGGCGTAAGTTGTCTAAGTGTTTAGGGTGGGTTGTAGAGTGTAGACAGCAACTTAACAAAGGGTTAAGGGCACCTAAAAGTCACTAAACAGTGCAGGAAAAGTTCTGGGCAGCAATGTTTTCTAAGGTGGCAAGTGACCTAGGTGATTGGGTGGGTGGCAAGTGACAAGGAAAACACTTAGGTAAAACAAATATGCTTGTTTACAATGAAAATAACATGCAGGAAATTACTGGATAGCAAAGTAAATCAACAAAATTAGCTACCTAAATGGTGTTATGCATGCAAACGACTAATGGCGAGATAAACTAGACTCCTAGGATGCACCTAGCACAAGCAAAGCATGCTAGCCATGCTCTGATACAAAGATGATGTGATACCAGGAATTGAATCTCAGAAAATTTAATAAAAGTTGTTGAAATAATGAAAGTTCAATCTTGATGCTTTTCTTAAGTGAAAATTCAAAAGAGATCTTAGAATTTTAACCAAGTATAGGCAAGTTATTACCGCTAAATTAGCAATATCTATAAAATAAAGACAATAATAAATAGTAAAGCAAATGAAAAGCCAACTAGAATCCGGCGGTTAACAAAGTGATTGTCTCACCTTGAGGCTACACTCATTTGTCTACTTCTAGGGTTGTCGGAAGAAGAAGAACCACACAAGAGATGAAACCACTCCGAGGGCGACGGTGCCGGAGATCCGTAGTGAAGGAGAGGAAGGCGTAGGATTTGGAGGTGGCGTGGAAGGTCGGCCGTCGATGGTCCACTCGTAGTCCGGACGTTGTCTATCAATGACTTGGATGAGGGTCGGGAGGATCCGATCCAAGTAATCTCCCACGGTGTCTTCGTCTGATTCAAATCCCGCGTCAAAGAACGGCGATTGTAAGACGTCGAGATTACCTTGGGCATCGAACACAAGCCCCCATTCTAGCTCGGGATCCGCCATGCGACATGGAGATGAAGATGGGTGGTCGCCACAAGGTGCTCTCCAATGGGGAAGATGGAGAGGTCCGCGGGTTGTAGAGAGGAGGGGGAGGCCGGCGGTAGAGCTAGGGAGAGAGGAGGGATTAAGCTTTAGAAAGCTGAAATTGATTTCAGTTTTTAGGGATTTAGGAGGGAGAATTTTGGGATTTAAAATTTGAAAACCCCAATTAAGGAGAGGAGTTATGGCTCAATCAATACGGAGAACCAAGGGGAGCCGGCGGCATCAATAAGGGAAGCTAGGGTTTGTGAAAACTGAAATAACTTTCAGTTTTAAGTGAAATTGGAGGGATTTATTTTGAAATTAGAGTTTGAATTTCAAAATAGGGAGGGGGGGTTAATTATGCAATTAATGGAGGAGCCCAATGAAGGGGGGCCGGCGGCATCAAGGAGGAGGAGAATTAGGAGGAGGGAATTCCAAATTAGGATGATGACTAAGAAAATCTTTTCTCATGAATCCAATTTCATTTGATGTGAAATTGAATTTAAAATTCTAAAACTTTCCTAAAATAGAACTTCTTAATTTGGAAAGAATTTGAACTTGGAGCTCAAATTTCAAAAGAGGTTCCGAGCGGGAGTGGTGGTGGGAGGATGGAGGAGGGGAGGAGCCGGCGGCAAGGAGGCCGGCCGGTGGGGCTAGGGTGGCCAACGGGTGGGGATCCCAAGGAGACGACAAACGTGGAGGCAGCCGACTTCTTCCAACTCGTTGGTATAGATGGTGGTATTTGTGGATGAAGAGAAAATCTAAGGATGTAAATACTAAGAGATCTCATGTGAAGAACTCACCAAGAGATCTTGAACTCACAAAGAGAACACATAGTAGAAAATTTTCATTCAATCAATAATCCATAAAATACAATGACAAAACCCTTATATAGGCTATCCGGAAATAAAAACATAAAGACGACATTGCCCTTGGGCTACAACAAGCACTAATTCCCTCATAGGGGTACAAAAGGAAAAACATGAAATATAAATGACATAAAATAAAACATCAAAAATAAAGACTCTGAATCATGGCCGTCGATCGGCGTCTCCGGCGATGGTACACGTGTCGAAATCTGATGTCCCCATCATGGTGTCTAAGAAATAAGAAGTAAACAAAATACCGTAGATAATTATGCTTAAAACTAAAACCTCACTTAAGAATCATACAAATTTTAATCAACTCAAAATTGAAATCAATTTGGTCTGACTCCAAGATGACTCCCTCAAATTTAGTTTAAATACTTCTTCCTTAATTGTTTTCACCAAAAAATTAAATGACTTTTGGCAAAAAACAAAATGTGAACCTCTATTGCTTCAATTGATTCAAAGAAGCTAAGCTTAATACTGAGAAAGCCCTAGCTGTTTTTCAGAAATCTACCCCATCTACATTGTTTCTCCTCTCCTTCCTATATCACAAGAACTCTCCCTTCACTCTCCCTATTTAAGGACAGTATCAATAGCCCACAGACTTATCAAATTATATTCTGTGATTAAAAAAAAAAAAGGATGCACCATAATTTAAAAACTACAAGCTGATTTAACTAACCGGTGATCCCATCCAGCTGTTGCTGCAATTTTGCAATCTGCGCGAACGGTAGTGCCTGATATTCCAGCTCGATCCAGAGCTATTTCTTTCTTGACAGAAACAGAACCCTAACAGAAACAAGAACGAAGTTGTGAAGGCGCTCCCATTATCCAAATTGAACTAGCAACTACAGAAAGTTATAGAACTCCTTTATGAGGTAATAGCGACAGCAACTTTTTAGCCCGACAAAACAAGAAGTCATGACAAGATCACAAATATTATAAAAGACATATTGCCAATCAAATTTGATGTTAAAGACCTAAACCATCTTATTCAGCCAGACCTCACACAAATATTCAAACAAAAAAAATAATCATACAAAATAGAAGTAGAAAAAGATTAAAAGAATGCCAACCAAAATGCACCATAATTTCATCCGCTTATCATTTCAGAAAGCAGATAAACAAAAACAAAGTACCACATGATGAGTTATTCTTTGACGAAAGTAAATTAGAAACATATAATAAGAATAAACAGTTGGAAAAATATTGCAGCTTGTTCAGCCGGTCAAGTAAAAAATAGAATAATAGCTATTTGAATGCCATAAGATTTACCGTTCTATGGTCCAGTTTAAATATTATAATTTTGTTATCTGCTGATCCAGACATGCCTCCATTGCAGAAGGCGTCAACTGTCACGCTTAAAACTATAAAAAAGTAAAGCATACTCAGGATGCTAATCCAGAATGGAAGGAAATGTAAAAATTAAAGCATTTCCAATAATGTGCATTCTAAACAGCAAGGAATGATAACAGAAAAGTTGGAGAGAGGATATTCACCAGCTTCAGAATGATATTTCACATTACATAATGGAGCATCTGACTTTCGAGTGTCCCACAAAAGCATGCTGCCATCTTCATATCTATGGGCAATCATTAAGCATAGTAAGTAAATTAATACTTTTTCAACTAGGAAAGAGTAGCAATTGTGAGAAGTAAAAAATGTTAAATGAGTTAATTCAAATAGCATAAAGAACTGATACCAACCGACCAACGTAAATGGAACAGAGGTTAACATGCTATAAAGAATGAAATTTGGTTACACTTCCTAGAATAAACCATTATCTATTTATGTTACGCAAAGGCTGTCGACTTTCAAATCACATTCTGCAGAATAAACAACCCAAGAAAGTCATTAAAAAAATAATTTGCTAGGTTTTGCTAACTCATCTCCAAGGAGTGCAAGCATTGCACTGTGGTGCAAGAGCACATCCGCTGATATTGTACAGAGTAACAAATGCAAGACGTTGCCATCTTTCACATATTGGCATGAAATCGCATAACAAAGAGGGTATAATTGGTGGCTGACATTGTGCCCTTCAACATCATAAAGATAAATTCTCCTTAGACAAGGACAAATGAGTGGATTGTCTCATTTGAATAAATGTTGCATTGCTTGGAACAGAAACAAATCGCCATTCATTACACAAATAAAGCAATTCATCTAGTACCCGTGAGTTCTACATACCTGCAGAATGTACACGCCGATCAACAGCATATAAAGAACATAAAATGTTGGTTGTTCATTAAGTCCAGATTCCACATACTGGGCACTTCACCGATCTAATCTAAACTGCAAAACACAAACTAGTGTCGACCCATGCACTAAAGGCGCGAAAAGAGCAAAAATTGGCGACTTTAATGACGGCCGATGGGCGTAAAACATCACTTAAGTGGTCAAACGAGCTCCGATTGCTAAACGGATTGTGTTGTTGTGATCAGAGCATCGAATTTGCCTAAGAGGGAGCCCCCAACAATCAATTCGGACAAGAGCGGTCAAAATCAATGACTAATACCCAAAATTGATGTGCGACACTGTCCAAATGATGTCCAATCACCAAACGGACTTCGCCGTTGCGTTCGAAACGTTTGAGTCATCTAAAATTGACTATAATTTCGCTCAATAAAAACCACACAGGAAATCGTGCACATCCCAAGGAGAAAATGAGCAGATTTTGAGAAAACACATGCAAATCAAGGCATCGACGTGCAAATTTGAGGACGTACGAATTTCCGTTTCATTTCTATTATTCTTATAATAATAATAATATTATTATTATTATTAAAATTAATCGAAAAATCAAATCAAAATCTTACCTCGTATCCGCCTATGCACTGACTCTACTCGAATCCCCAAAATATCGTTGAAACCTCTATCATTCAGCACTGACGATGCGGTCTCTTTCCGCAACTCTCGCCTCGATCGAGTCCTACTTTCGTTATTAAGACGATGTTGAACAAAGCCATCACTTTCGCTTCCATGATCACAAATTTCTTGCTCGAGCAATCCCCCTCCCTGTTTTCACGTAAGTCTCCCGTCGACTTCACGATCTCCACTTCCGCTACTCGATCAACCCCACGACCCTTGCTCCAAGCCTTTCGATTCTTCCTCAACCGTCCGATTACTTAGGTAGCCACTTCCTCTCTCCATCCGACCCTTGAACCTTCACTTCCGGTCACTCCTCACAGCAAACCACTAAACTCACCCCAATCCCTCGGAAGCCCAATCTGTCCGTCCCAGGCCTCCCACGCCTGCGTTGGACTCTCGTTCGAACGTCTTCACACTATTCTTCCAATCCGGACCCGCTTCCTTACAGTCGGCCTATCTCTTTCTTCCTGAATCTAACTCTCGGACAGTAGTTGCACACCCGAGCCGACCAAATTCCGATCCAGTCTCCAACTTCAGCTGCAACCTCCTCCCTAACCTTTAGCCGATCTAGCCAGCTAACTCCTCTTTTACTTCACGACTAACCTCCATATCCACTTACCTGAGCCCCTCAATAAAAAAATCAAGCTAAAAACAAACATCTCTCCCATGAGACCTCTCTCACGAATGGTTCATCACCGAGCTCAGAGATCAACATCAAATCATCACTCGCCTCCTCTCTATGGCGAAGCAATCCAAAACTGGCTCCCTACCTCACACCGAATAGATCTCCAGTCGCTCATGGTTACATCTCACCCGCATCATCAACTAAAATATGGCCACACCACTCGCCACAGCTGGTCAAGTCACATCAAAGACCGATATTACAACTACAATACTCTGTACATGTTTTATTGTAACTCTCCAAACCTTATAAATTGTGGGGGTATCAGAGGGACACACACAGACACGAGAGAAGAGATAGAAGAAGAGATGAAGAGAGAGAGAAAGAGAGAGAGATATTGTTGTTTTTCTATAGATAGAGCTATCACACCTCTTATTCTTATATTTCTGGTTGAGATAATAAAGATTTTGTCCGGATCCACTCTTTCTCTTCCCCCCTTTCTATTTTGCCTTCCTCGTCCTCACACAGGTCCTCAAGCTCACAAGTGGTGCATAAAATAAGGCCTTGTATCATCCACCAGATAAATCTGGATTCAACTAGTTAAGTCCCCATTATAAATGTTCCTCAAAAGAAATAGCCTGGACAACTAAACCAATCAGGTTTAACCCAACCGAGATAAGAACGACCAAGTGCCAAAAAGGGAAGCTTTTTTAGTTAAATTTTGAGGCAATGGTGACTTACAATAGCACCACAACGTCCATCAAGGGTAGTGGGTCCTCACCCCTTCAAAGCTATAATGCAAAGACGCCCACTACGCAGCTTTGAAAATAAGATTGACAAAATCTTTACAACCATACAAGATAAAGAGTACTTATGGTGGCCATCACCACTTTTCACTCTTCCCAAGAATCCAGACAACATAATGGTCGCTTTTATCATAATCAAAGTGACCACAAAACAAAGAATTGTCAAAGTCCAAAAGGTTCCCCTCAAGAAAACTACTAGGGGAGGGGGACCTAAAGCGATTCCCATCACTTCTAGCTCTGGTACTTATCAAGAATGATAAAGTTGGGTACCCAACAAAGCAAGATGATCGCCCTCAAACACCTCGATAGCTCATTTGATTAAAGTGAGATAACGTCCAACGTAGTATAGCATGTCTTTAGAATATGCTTGGATCTTCTACACATATGGGGCTTTTGGGGAACATCAACAAAGTCAGTGCTACCCTAACTAGCTTGCAGTTGTCATCATTACTTGTGCCATCTAATTGACATTCAACATCACCAACACCTAGGAGTATGATATTATTCTTGATGAACTGAGGCTAGTAGTCAGAGTTAGAGCAAAGAAGCTAATCCTCTATCTTGTTTCTCAATCGGTCGTCAACCAGAAGGTGGGAGATTACAAAGCCAAAGATAGCATTGCAGAAAAGTACCTAAAGAAAGTCCTAGCAGAGATTCACTTTATGGTGAGGCATGTGCCACGAATAGAAAATCAACTTGCTGATGTGTTGGCGAAATACATCAAACCACAAGCAATGTTCGATGAGGTGATGATCATACTATCAATTGAGGATCCACAAACCATGCAAATTAACAAGGAATCCACAAACCATGCAAATTAACAAGGAATTAAATTGAATGGGAAAGAAGTATAGCCCATTCAACTTAATTAGGGCGTAATAATGCCTACTCAGATACCAAGCGACTAGGTACTTTATCTCCCGCGTGATGCCATCGAGTTTGCAAGAAGCTGATCATATCGAGCTCATGCTTGGATCCTACACCGATCAATTCAAGAGCTCCAACCCATAACCAATTTATGGTCAATCACTACATGAGGATTGACTCCTATCATTTAGCTACCAAATGCGATCGAAGGCATTTCCCCCTAGTGTCAGTCAACTACTTTACGACATGAGTGGATTTGGAAAAAGCAACTTCTGATGTTATCGTTAAACTTCTCTAGTAAAAAATCTTTCCCATATTTGACCTACCGGACACCATTATCACAAATAATGAGACACGGTTCACTGATAGGAGGATGAGCATGGGATAAACTTGATGTTTCTATTTGTTTGTCATCTAAAAACGAATAGGCAAACTGAAGTTGCAAATAAGCAATGTTATATAAGAAGCTCAACCCAGAAAAGAAGCTTAGATGAAAGAGTTGTCAATAGTCTTCTAGCAATACTGAACCACTCTAACTATAATAAGGAAACACCTTTCGCAGTATAACCTTCAGGTCAGAAGCTATGGCATTGTTCAAGTTACATATAAATTTGGCCAAAATTTTCACAACAACAAGACGAACTTAACGAAGATGATTGTTGCATGATGAGAACAACCGGAGATACAACCGATACTCAATTAAAGGAAGAAAATTAACAAGTAGCATGTCAGATCAACTGTCAAAAAGCTCGAGCCACCCAATATCTAAACAAGCACTTCAAATCAAGAAACTTTCAACCCAGCAATCTAATTTTAAGTGAAGAGTTGAGATAGTTAACGCCTTGACAGTGTCGGAGGAATAAAGAAGTTTACTACGATTTAGTCGTGCTCATTCATCATCAAAGACATCTGAGGATTAAACTCTTACGAGTTGCAAGACAATGATGCTGGTAAGCTAACAAGAACTTGGAATCCATTAGATCTAGAGCACCTATAATATGCCTAAAACGAAATTTTCTTACCTAGAAGTTTGAATTGATTATTTCTAAATTCCATAATTTTCCTTTTAAGGAAAAAAGAAATCAGTGGAAAAAAGAATATTTCAAGCTGCTCCATAAAACTCTTTCCCTAAAGCATTAACTAGACATAAGCCCCTTTTTTTGCTGACAATAATAAACAAAAAAAGTCGTTACCTTCCCTAGGGCAGCAAATTTATTGTTTATTATTGTCAGCAAAAAAACTGGAAAGTCCATTAAAAAATATTAAAAAATAAACATGTATCTTTTTGTTGTTACCTTCCCTAGGGCAGCAAATTTATCTAATTTAGAGGTGTAAACAAGTCGAGTCAAGTATATGCTTAATCGAGTTAAGCTCCTTTAATTCTTACTGAGCTCAAATGTAGATAGTTAAAAAAATTTAAGCTCGAGCTCGACTTAATTGTTTAATTTTTCTTTTTTGAATTTTTTACATTTAATATAAAATAATATAAAAATGTTAAAATATATTATATAATGCAAATTTAAAATTAATTTTTAAAAATATTTTCATCTGATCAAGAGGCTCGAGAAGCTTATAAGCCGAGCCAAGCTGAGCTGAGCTTGAGCTCATATAATATATAAGCTCAAGAATAAGCTTGAGCTCGAGCTCAAACTCATGGCTCGATAAACTTGACCAATGAGCTAATTAAGGAGTCAAGTTTGAGCCAGCTCAGCTCCCTTACACCCCTAGTCTAATTCAACTAGATGAAACATTTTCCTCCTTTAGTACACAGAACTATTTCTCTATGGCTAAAAGCTATATTATGAGCATTTTTCTATCTCTACAAAGTTGTCGTGTTAATGATGCGGCCGGCGAATAACCACCTATCTTCAAGACTTCAACATGTTAGGTAATTAGTGAAGTTCTAGTCCCCCCACCATGTACCCATCCACTCCATATGAGGAAGCTCGAATTAAAATGGTGACAATTATAATGGGAAGGGCTACCCTCAAAATCTGAGTGATCATACAATGTTGGCATAGCACCCCAAAATATCTTCTTATAAAGGGAAGGGCAAGATTCTCACAAGTTAGAGCAAAAATCTATAATGTGGTTGTTGCAACCACGTCTAACATCATTGAGCTACTACAATCACCTATTGATGTTGATAAATCGTTGCAGGGAAATATAAGGACTAGAACTAAAAGACAATGATGCACTAAAAAACAGGCTAATGTGATTAAATTCAGTGCAAACTGATGAGGACATCAGTCAGAGATTTTGGCATGTGCACCGTCGACGGAGTTGTAGACCGACGACTACGATCCAGAGTTTTTATTTTTGATATATTTTGTATTTTATTTATTTTGTATTTCTGTTTTCCAAGTTTACCCCTATGGGTAGTGAGTCTCTATTGTAGCCTTGATGGCATTTGTGTCTTTCTGCTTTTCTTATTATTGAAGCCTATAAATTAAGGTCTCTTGGATTTGTATGGGTTAATGATTTGATGAATGAAATTCTATCTTGTTTCTTACAGATCTCTTTGTGAGTTCATGTGAGTGGTGAAGCCCATGAGGGGCCAACGGAGTGCCCAATAGCTGCCGACGGGTGAGCTCTTGGTTTTTCTATTTTAGTATTTTATTTGTATTCTTCCTCCTCCCTCCTTCCCCCTCCCGCCTTCTCCACCCTTTCCCACCATCGGCCACCTCCCCAACCCGACGGCCTCCCCTCCATCCTTCCCCCGCCAAAATTTCCCTCTCCAAATCCCACCACCGGCCACCCCTCTTCTCCCCCACTTAATGTTGGTTTAATCACCTTTAAGCCCTTCCTAATTTAGCCTGCATGTTTTGGGAAAGCCTTCATTCAATTTGAAATTCAAATTTGAATTTAAAAATTTTCCTAAATTAGCCAAGTTAAATTAGGAAAGTTTACCAATTCAAATATAATTTAATTTTAAATTAAATTGGAATCTTTATTCCTTAACCTAACTTGGATTAATGCATTAAGAAGCACTAATTTCCCTCCCAATCTCCCTCCCCTAATTATGCCGCCGGCCCCCTCTTGATTCCCTATTTTTTTTGAATTCAAATTTTGAATTCTTAATCTTCCCTCCAACCCATTAATTCTATTAATTAAATTACCTTCTTTGGGAAGTTAATTCAAAAAAGAATCAAACCTCATAACCTCTCCCCCTTCTCCTAGCCGTCCCCCTCTCCTCATCCCACTTAACCCCAAGTCGCCGCCCCACCTTCTCCTCCCCCTCGATCGCTCACTGTCGGCCAAACCCTCCAAGCCGCAACACACCAAGCCCTCCCATGACCATGTAGGGCGGATCCGGAAGTTGATCATGGATTTGCTTTCAATTCTCAAGGGGAGATTGACATCATCCAATCACCTTTCTTTGACCTTGGATTTGGATCCGAAAGCACTGTCAAAGAATACGTCGATCGCATTCTCTTCCATTTAGCGGACGACATCGACGAACAAAGACCTACTGGAGAGTGGAAGATGACCGGACGACCACCTGTATCTCCAAATCCGACTCCTTCCCTAGCGACTAGCACCATCGGCATCACGTGTCTTCTAGTGGCGTCTCTAAGTTTGCTTGCAATATTCTTCCGCTAAAGAACTATTGTCATGAGTGTGAGTGAGGGATCTCCAGGTGAACGATCTAATTGTTAAACTGTGGACTCTTATTAATTTCGCCATAAGCTTTATTTATTTATGTGGTTGTTGTTTTGCAAGTATCCTAATAATCTCCGTAGTAAGTGATTGCTATTACTTAATCTTCTCACATATTGTTCTAAGGTCTAACTTGAAGAAACATTAGTTTAAATTTAGCAAAGAAAAGTTCATATTTTGATTAATTTTCGTAACACAATTCTTGTTAGCCACTTTGTTTCACATCACAAACCCAACAGTCAGGGTTGGTGATCTTGCTGATAAGTCTCATCAATGTAAGCAGAGGGCACCAGCATTTAATCCACTCTTAGCATAAAAAGGGCCATAGGACAATACCAAGCCCAAGGTAGAAGAAGTGATGTGATGCAATGAAGGAGTTACACAAGAGTTTTAAAAGAAGATCAAATTTTAGCTCCACGAATTATATAATTATGCATCAAAGTTAAGTCAATTAAAACAATTCGCGATGTTCAATTTGCTAGGCTCGATGACCTCATCAAGAAGATTCAGCTAGACAAGCAAGCCAGGCCAACCTGATCACCAAAGTGCTGATTAGACGCTTGCTCGGTACTTTCCACTTGCTAGCGATTAGCAAATATGATAGGAGCTTCTGAGATTGAATAATGCTATTATTGATTTTTCAATCAATAGAAATTCAAGTTTTAGTTGTTTTCATGGCATAAAAGATATTTAAAGGAAATTAGAAACAAAAACAAAAACGGTATGTGGTTACTTGGATAACTATATTTTTATTAGCATAATTAATACCATGAAAACAAGTTTTAAAACAAAGAATAAAACAAAGCTCACCCAGAAACAACATTCAGAAAGCCTTGTGATTCAGATGGAACAAAAGCCTGCACAGCCATACATAGTCCTGCAGCATATAACTAAATGAGCAGGTATCAGTGGTTTATCAAATTCCACTGGAAGATTAAACAATTAATTATGATACATATACATAACAAAATTTGTTTAGTACCAAAGGAGCACATTGGAAAATTACAATACCGTAGCCTACACAAATGAGTTTCGTCATTTTTTGATTGGAATATCAAAAATGGGAAAAGATTTAGACAAATTTTCAATATGAAGCACTGGTAGAAGGTCAAGTAACTGCTGCAATTACCCAAAAACAGATATAATTCATTAAGTATGGAGTCGCCATTATGAATTCTACTAAAATTAATTCATATTGACATGATTGGATGAGGGGAGGTCCTTTTTGAATTAGAATTACAGTTAAGTCGATTCTTTTTTAATTTCATTATGAGGGATAATTTAGCAACTAGAGGGCCTGGCTGTCAATAGATGATTGCTTGGGTGGAGGAGTGTCTGATAGCCTTCTAAATTTGTGAGGAGGGGTTCCATATTTTGGTGTGGATTCCCCAAGTTTGGAGAGGTCAGGAAAGAAGAAGGGAATCATGGAGTCAATGATTCGGTCAAAAACGAACCGAGAACTCTGAAACCATCTCTTGGGGGCTGTTCAAGGGAACCGCCGCAGATTGCAGTGGATGGGAGGCAATCAGACAGTCCACCCAGTACTTCTTTGAATTTCTTGATCAATCCAACTTACTAGGTGCAGAGACAGAAGAGTTACCCTCATATTTTATTGAATTATGAACAAATATGTTATCATATCGAGCCAAGAATTGTCATTTATCACGTTCTATGTTTTCCAATTTTTCTTTTCTTAATCTTTACTTTGCCAAAGTCTAAATGTTTCCATTTAAGTATATCTAAAACCGAATATATGGAGTGCAATTTTAATAATAATAGATCTAGTAGTTGGATTATAATATTGAGTGATCAAGTCATTAAAAATAGTACACATTTTGAATATCTCATGTCTATTGTTCAAAGTGATGGTGAAATAGATGAGGATGTTATTAGAAGAATTCAATTGTATGGTTGAAGTGGAGGAATATATTGGGCTTGTTGTGTGATAGAAAAGTACCCTTCAAATTTTAGGTGATAAGATGGTGGTAAGACCTGCAATGTTTTATGACGCAGAATGTTGACCACTAAAAGAAAAGCATAAAATTAAGTTAAGTGCTGCATAGATGAAGATGCCTACGTGGATAAGTGGTTTTACACTTAGTATATGAAAAGATTGGAGTAACTCCATTGGCAAATAAGATTAGTGAGTCGCCTTAGATGATTTGGTCACTTAAAATGTCAGCTTTCCAATGACCCTATTAGGAGAGATGTATTAGATCCTGCCTGTGTCAAAAAAGATGGGGGTAGATGTTGACCTCCATACATTATCCAAAAGAAAACAAAAAAATTCATTTACCTGTCATACAACGCCGACTATACGCTCCAGAAATCCCGCAAATCCCGCTGCTACAACCCTATCTCTGCGAACGGCGCCGAATCCATCGCTTCTCTGTGTTTCCTGCCCAAATCTCGTTCCAGCTGGACGCTCCTCTCGTCTTAAAGCCAGATGAGATGATGGCTCTTCTGCTTCCATTCGCTGCTCTGCTCCCACGCACGACCAAGACTCTCCCCTATCGCTCGTCCATTTCCCACATCGAAACTCCATCCAAACCTCCGACCCCATCCCGATCTCCACTGAAGCCGGCGACATACCTCCCGATCCTGATCTCAGATAGATAGATAGAGAGAGAGAGAGAGAGATTGACCTCTCCCTTATAGCCAGTGCCCAAACCGAGCTCCATCTCCTCTCTATCCAACCTCAAGCTCCACCCGATCTCTCTGGAGCCCGAGCGACTGGTCGGCATAATAATCTCCTTATGACTCCCAATCGTTATATCAATGATCAATAGAGGATATCGTCAAACCCTTTTTAAAGGAAAGCCCGTCGGCCCACCATCCTGTACAGGTCAAATCAATCTCCAACCAACGGTTCAACCAGTCTTCACTTGTCTTTCAGTAATAGTAATATACATTCAATCATATTTTCACATTCGTATGCATATCAATAAGGTATTGCAATCAATAAATACAATTTAGCTCAATGCAGAAAACCCCCTTAAAATATCGTATAGTAGACAGACGGCGTTGCAAAAATGCACAATTGCCAAAAATTACCGAATTACCAGAAATCGAAGAAAACAACGTTTCAAAGCTTTACTTGTACTAAAGCAATAATTTCTAACATCCTGATAATTTTCTATTCGATAAAAATCGCACATAACTCAAAATAACCGGTAGAAACTTTACAGAAAATACTCAAATCGTGTAAAAATATCATATCAGAAACATATCAGAAGTTGTGCGGTAAAACTTTCGTCAGTACAAAATTATGCACGTTTTCCGGTAACGGAAACACAAAATTGAGCACATAATTATCAAAACTCGAAATCTTCGAAATCAGAAATAGGATTCGGATTCCTTACTTCGAAACAAACAAATCTTCCAACTGCGTCGTCGGACGAAAAGCGCTCCGCGGGCTCCAAAACCAAGCTTTCTCTTCTCCTCCTTCTCTTTCTCTCTCCTGCCTTCTCTTTCTCTCTCTTCAAAATAATTCTAGAATATCTCTATCGAATATTTATCAACACTGATCGTCCCGCGACGATCAGTGTTAGACCAGATCGTGGACCAGATAGTCCAAACGAAATTAAATGCCAATTTCGTCGTCCCGGGATGAAACTCTCGGGTTCAATTCGTCCCGACGGTTCATCCCGACTGTTCCAGGTTCGTACAGACGAAACATACAGATTTCTTCACAATTTCTTCAGTTCGTCCCGTACTAAGGCCAGTTCGTCTGGGACTAACAACACTAAAAAAAATAGCTTTTTTAAGGGTTTTACAAACTCAGCAAAGCATAATCATGCAAATGATAACTAAAGAGTTAAACTTTTCCAATGGACATTCAATTGAGCTTGTAAACTTCAACGTGATAACAAGAAAACTCACACCGAATTCAAACTGGAACAAAATGCTGGACAATAAAGAATTTGTGGACATAGAATTTGAGTTTGCCACTTGAACTTAAACAAAGACTTGATTTGGATGACAAGTCTGAGATTCAAGCTTGGACAAGAATTTGAACTAAGTGCGCTTGAAGTTAAACTTGAACTTGGTATAATATGGACAAATTGGACTCAAGTTCAAATGAAAAGGATCATGTTTGGACATTGAACATGAATACAAGCAAGAACTTGCAACTCGACTACAAAGGGACTTAGACTTGAATCTAAAAGGGAACTGCAATAAGCATGAGCCTAAGTTGAATTTGAACATAAAGGGACTATATTTGGAATGATAACCAAAATCCCTATGGAATGTTAAAGTACCATCTTCCTAATTTGAATAAGAAAGATTTGAGTCATGCAAATCTTATACAAGCGAACAGGTGGAAGACAAGTTCTCAATGCGTGAGGATGATGAATGATGAAAACAAGTGACATCTATATCAACTGTACAATTAACTATAATCAGAAAGATTCAAAATGTAGCTTGATAGCGAGTATTAACGATGCATAACTCGATTGATTCATTCATCTTCAATGAATACAACATACTCGATGTCAGAAGATCCACAACGTATACAACACTTCACTCACAAGTAAAAGTAAAGGCATTCTTCGTATGCATAATGACTGACTTCCAAGATTGGGAGTTGATGACATAAATCTTACAATGAATTTGATGCTCTCATGGGGAGATATGCAAATGAATGAAACAACCTACCAATCCATACATATGAAGAGGTGGTGGCAATGCAAATTATTATGAATTATCATAGTGTTGACCCTTTCTGTAAGCCAGCACAGCAAAAAAAAAATGAAAAATCAAATCCTCACCTACTCTCTGCGTACCCACGTCGTTCGCACGTCGCAGCCACGACCGAAGTCGCATCCTTGCACGTCGTCGACACGACTCGATCGCGTAGATAAAGGGCCGAAGAAACGAAGCCGCGCTCCCTCTGACTCTCTCTTCGCTCTCTGGCTCTCTCCCCTGACGACTTTCCCTTATGTTGGATCGGAACTCCCCCAGCGACCAACCTCCCTCCTCCGTCTGACTCCGCTCCATCCACGACTATCCCTTCCCTGCAGATCGGAAGTTACGGCATTTTGATCGGACACGAGAAGCAGGAGCTCGTCGGCTGTAAGGGATCAGAAGCCGCGACACTTTGGTCGGAAGCAAGAACAGGATCCCGCGGGCTGTGAAGATAACTTTCTTCCTTTGCGTGCGCTCCCCTTCGGCGCCCCCATTGCTGTTTAACTTTGCTCCTTCATCGACGTTCCCCTCTTGTCCGATCGGAAGCAAGCACAGGAGCTCTTCTGCTGTGCAGGTAACTTTCTTCATACTGCACGCTTCTTCGGCCTAATCCCGTAAAAAAAAAAAGAAAAAAAAAAGAAAAAAAGGGGGGATTTTTATTATTATTATTATTTAATTATAATTATATTAATTAATTTTAATTAATTATAATAATTGTTTTTAATTAATTATATTTATTATAATTAATTATGCTTAATTTTAATTAAGTTGTTATAATTAATCTAATTAATTATAATTAACTTTAATTAGAATTAAATTTAATTAATTATATCGAACATGCAGACATGGATGTTCATTTCTTATACTCTTTTCATTGTCCCTTATTTAAATTTCCTTTACCAATGGCTATTCGATATTTCATGTCTAAAAGTCTTTTGCGTTATGGTCCATACGATGCAACAGTTAATGAGAACGACATGAATTAAAAATAAACTTGCAAAATTACTAAAATTAAAACAAGGATATACGATGAAGTTAAAGAAACCATGAAATGGCATTGAAATGAAGAAAATAAAGCACTTCATAAGTTAACTGCTTCTGGACACCTACTTCGAATTTAAGCACAAAATCCGCCGCTCTTCAACAAGGTTCCGCGTTCTCTTAACGATTAGAACCTAAGATGGATTC